TAATGTTCAGGATCAGTGTATGGGTTGAAATACATGGCCAGTGGTGGTGGTGGTTATGGTGGTACGTACTTTCTCCTACCCTTGGTCTACAGACAGCTTTACTACGAGGCTTTGCTATGAGGGAGTCATAAAATCATGTGTGACACGAAACGATGTGTACTTCGCAATCCGCCCTTTCCTCTCTAAAAGTCGTCTCCAGTTAGTTGCTGGTGATGAGGTATTATCTGAGGAAGGAAGCCGGGCACACATTAGCTGGTTCCCAAATTACCACTTGATTCGGGTCATGGCAACTTGCCATTGATCGCTCCGTAGTGATAACCAAGCCCTCAGGAAACCACTCCCAAAACGGCTGATCTAATGAAGATCAAAACAAGTTTTACTTCCTGTGAACGAGCTCATATTGGCTCTTTAACGCTGGTGCTGGTCACTCCACTCGGGTCACTCCTCAGCCCAACATATTGTCGGGATGGGTGACGCTTTCATCTCCCTTTGTCTTTTTATGTCCACCTTTCCCACGTCTGACAAAGCTCTTCCTTTGCAAGAAGTCTAGACTGACACGTTATGTTGAAATGTTCATCAGAATTCTGTCCAATGCCAAATACTGCATACTCTCGTTATAATCATACACATGCCTTTTGTCCATTTCGTAACTCCGATTATCCTTTAATGCGCTACCACCACGGGTCTGGTTATTTCTATTTATGACCACTCCACTAGAGCATTTCGCAATAGATTTCTTAGGGAAACCATAATTACGTACACTCGGCAACTTGAGGGAACTTTAAATAATTTGATTTAATGTTATTATGAAAGAACCCTTTAATCATCTATCGAATTCCTCCGTACAAAATTATAGAAATCCTTGATATTCTTCTTCACCAATTAATAATTAGCATATTTTGGAGGTAAGTGCATAGGACGAGAGGTGTTCGATATCTTCGATCGGTTATTCTATTCCTAATACCCTGCCGCGTTCTGCAGAAAACTCAAGCAAACCGGCCTCAAGTTCGAAATAAACCAGGAGCTTTACACCTGTAAACTATCCACTGTCGCTCATTTGCGTCCGTTTACACAGAATGTGATTTAACAAAGTTAAACAAAGTGCAGTCAAGATACAACTTTCCTTACAGAAATCGGGAAGAAATGCATAAGTACATACATATACATATATATTGGTAGAATGCGTTCACGGCAATATCCTGGTACACATGTAGATATGTATTTACGTATGCAGATATGTTCTGTGGTCTCATTTGGTCCATTGTTGCCATTGTTACACACTCAGGTTTGCTGTGCTCCGAAGAGATCTCATGTTATCTCAGAGTACAGATAAACACCAGGCAGAGCACAACTCGGTCCTACCGGTCTGGTTGGCGAGTAATTCCTCTTGGGGAATCGGACAGAAGGAAAGTTCGGCTAGCGAACAATATCACAATACCGCAATAATCCCACACTCGAAACAAACCTTGAGATGCCAACATCTTGCGAATAGTTAGGGATAAGGATATCTGAGAAAGCTGGGACCAGAACATGATCAAGGTGGTGTCATGGGTTACGTATCTGCATTTTCAGAATTTCATTATCAGCGTAAGCCTGCCCTGCATACAATGAATCTGGTTTTGTTTAACCCATCCAACCACTGCTCTAGAATCCATTCCCTTCCGACCACCTCATATCCCAACAAGATCACTTTGCTTTCGAGATTCTGAGATGAATTTAGAGTATTTTTGCCTACGCTATGCAGAGGCACGAGGAAGTGAAGACGCTGTTGGAATTATTCTTGTCACTTATCTTGTCAATCAAAGCTTAGGATTAGTTAACAAGCGGGAAATATTTTGATACGAACCATAAATTCCACATTTATTATTTTCTCTTTCAATAAAGAACGTAAATCATGTTTACTAACTAGACATCTGACCTTACTGAACTCCGCAGTCTTTACGTTTGTCTAGTTGTCTCACACGGCATGCATCTTTTACAAACACATATTTATGAAGACGCGTGCTTCAATTGTTGTTGGGTTTGCGGAGAGTGGCCTTGCCACACAACACAACAAAAATAGACCATGTTAAAATATATATGACACGTCAGAACCGTTTAGCTGGAAACTTTAGGGAACAAGAAGCAAAGGTCAAAGGGGTGAGATTGTTGTTGCGAGGGAATATGTGCATACATAGTGAGTACTATGCACCGTGGAGTTAAGGTTAAGCATGTTTTCGGTGATTTGTGTAGTAATAGGTTACAGCTTTATTAAAGTTGTATCCCAAAACGACCACAATTCAGATCCTTCGAGCCACACAGCCACTTTATTCTTCTCCCTTTCTACCTCGGTCAACCGTTAGTACATGTGTATGCATTGAGCACAATTTTCCTCGTTTCCGGTGGGCTCCTACATTTTCGGTATGAATGAAGAACTATATATATTTTAAACACACGGGTTCCATATTCCATAACCTGCGAGTAGCCAGTACTTTCATTATTGCCGACCTAAAAGGCTACTTGCGGCATAAATGTTGCAGAATTTGTTGAATGAATGGAGGGATTGATGGTATAAAAGTTGGAAACTGCACAAGTATGTATGTAATGCACCTTGGAAAGTTGGAGCTCACAAGGAATTGCGTCTTGAAATAGAGGGGGAATAGAAGAGAGAAAGTTGCGCCCATATTTAGCTGGCTGGTTGAATGGAGCTGGATGGCTCACCATCCAATTCCCAAGTTTGCCTCATACCGAATGCTGTGCGATCACGGTAATCACAGAGAAAGTAAAATAAGGCCAGTAGTAGGAGGAAAGTGCTCCATACTTACATATTATTTCGTACGTAAACCTGCCTGCTTTCAAAACCAACACAGACAGGCATTATATCCACGTGCACATGCATATATCCAGATGTATACGTACATATGTATATCTGTACGCCTTCTCGTATTCTTGTTTATTAGCCTCTGGAGTCCAAAGAGATTTTTCTTCCCCTGATTCTTTGTAATGAGGTTAGTAGCAAGCAGGTTTTTGCAGTGGGAACGCGAGGGAGAGAAAGTATGCTGCTTGCTACTTATTATTATACAGACAAGACTTGAGAAACCAGCGACCAGACCAGCAGCAGTATTTTCTTAGTCAATTTTGCACTCAGGATCCGAGTAATGCGGTTTAATGGCGGGTAGACTTCTTGCTCGCAATGTAATTGACATGGTTTTATTGCCATGTTTTGTTTGAAAATCGCATGTAGGTTAGCAAGGGCCTGAACTTACTAAACTGAAGCCTGTATTGTCCTCTCTCTCTCTCTTTAATTGATCAATAAACGTCAATAAATACGTCAATTCATTTTAATTTTCCTTAATTTTGAGACAACTTTGAAAATTAGACAGCCGGAAAGTTGTGATTAAAATTTTCGACTTGCATTTCAATGGTGCCTTCTTTAGTCTGTTTGTACTTTTGGGTCGTTTGGTTGGCCCATGAAAATATGGGTTAACTGTTAAGACGCAGCATTAAAAACGGGATCACGCTTCCAGAAACAGGTTTGTTTTGCCAATATTCCCCAAAGTAGTAATAAAGACAGCGTTAGTCGAGAAACTGCCAAACTTGTCTACAGGACGTGGTTTTACTTGGCTAGCAATCTGAAGGTGAGTTCTAAATAGAATCCAAATGTAATGAAGTTGAAGCACTTTAGCTCCCAAGATTGCTCGTTATTGAACGAAACGAAGCTGTTGCACGAGTTTAATTAATTGGAGACATATTTTACTCTAACTACAACATTACTTTTTATTGCATTGGATTGCACGCTGTACATATTCTTCCAGGGTACAAAAATCCAAGTTCGAAAAGGCTGCTTTCTTCTCCTCGTGTCTCAAAATGTATAGGAAGCCGATACTGCTGTACAGGGTTTTTGGTATGATAATGATGCCGCTGCTCCTGGGAAGATTATATTTGCTATGTAGCCACTCAGCATTGATTTCCGGTATGGTTTTTCTGGATGCTGACAAAATTTTATGTTGCCATAGACCAAGTTCCAATAAAGTAGTGTTTTGAGTTCACATCATTGTTATATTTCACTATCCCACCTTGAAAATGCAGCATCTCATCATCCATACCAACCATTAAGCTGAGTAGGAATGGGTAATCCGATCCGAGTTTAAATGGTCGGATCGGATCGGATCGGATTGTTCAATGCTTTAGTAAATACTCGGATCAATCCGTCGGATCGGATTACCCATTCCTACGTTCTCATGAAACCGGAACTTTCATCCACAAAATTTCTCAAAGAACCAGTATACGTATACATGTACATACATATATCGTATATATAGATACATGTATTTATACTTTGTATATGGAGAGAGGTGCTCCATTGTGACTACTGACACTTTTCTACTCCCTCCGACCATGCTGCGTGATTGAAAGTGCAAATTAAAACCAGAAATAATGCAAAATAAAGTTTGCGACGAACGGGAAATTATGCGAAACTTTTGAAACAAGAGTTACTCTTTCCTCCTAAGTCAGTCTAAGACTCGCGGAAGTTTCTTCTGGTACCTAAAGCTAAATCCAATAAGCTCCGTGCTCCAGATTAGATGGACTTTCGGGATTGTCTTAACGTAGCGCAGCGGTTGGTCTTGATCTCTGTTTTGGGAAGTCTTTCTCCATACAATTTGATGTGTACTTTTAATACCACCACCACAACAAAGTGCAACTTGGAAGACTTGATGGAATGAATTGTTTTAAAATTTGATGGAAAGTTACGTTTTGTATTATTCATCTGCTCCTCGAAAACTCACTGAGAATAATAATCCATGGCATCCACGTGAGAGACTTTATTTTCCAAATGCGCTGCAACTGCAAGTCACGCAAGGACTCAATATTTCTCATAATATTAACAGGGATTAGCATCTTGCGATTAATTATTAATTTTATGCATAAATTCGTTACAATGATTATCGAGAATTATGCAATAAGGTAATTAGTGAAACCAATAAATGTGTCTAATTCCATGATTTGTTTGCTTTATCTAGAAATCTCTGCCCCTGTGGAGGGAGTTGTCGGGAAGAGGACCGATATGACTTGTGATATGTAAGAAATATGCATTTTGCGCTACATATTCATTAAATGCTGCTTTCATCGTGCCCAACTGACTCTGAATAATCAATACTAATTTCGTTACAGCTCCTCAAATCGCCGTGACGATTCAGTCTACATGGTTTTGTGGTTAGTAGAGTTTATGTACTAAAATTAATTTACACGTTGATCAGTATGTCAATGAAATTTGTTTTAAATTACGGCTGTTTAACAAAAGTATTTTTTTCTTTTAATTCAATAGGTTTCGTGGCGATGAGAGCATCCCGATTTACAGGTAATTAAAATCCCCAAGGACTTGTAAATTTTCTTTTTTTTATAATCCTTTAAAATCCGAAAGACATGTCCCGTTCGATGATACAAAAAATCTGCTGATTTACAGACCAGATATTTATAGGCTACACACATGAGCACGTGTGCTATTTATGCTGCAAACATGGTTTGGATGAACTACTACACATTAGAGCATTATATTAAAATATATCAGGACATAAAATTGTACATTGTGTCTACATAAATTGCTCAGAGAACGGATGTAATTCGATAACCTTGAACACATTTATCACGGCGTGTAACTCAATAAAAGATGGAAAGTGTTACTGCTTTTCTTCCCCAGAAACTTGGACTTTTGATCAAACCGCATCAGGAAGTTGGCAAAGGAAAGGAAGGAAGGGAATTCAGCATAATAGCTTCATGCTTATCCTCTCAAAAAGGAGGCAAGGGCCCTTTGTGGTCTGGTTTATCTCTTTTCTGTACTTGATACCCAGGCAGAATCAGACATATGAGTATACTACATACATCCATATATCTGCAAATAACGTTCTTTTACTCTCTCGCTCTCACCCTCCTCCAAAGTTTAGTTACTCAATACACAACTTTCCCCGAGAATCTTATTCAGTGGGAGCAGATACATATTTAGTGGATGATACTGTTGAGGGAGGGCAACGATATTTCTCAGAGACTAAAATTGAGGCTCTTTCAAGAAGAAATATCAGCAACCACGCGGATGGCTACTGGCTAGTCTAGGTTACATCTCCCGCACAACCCCTCGTTCTTTGGACTACTTTCATGCATACTCAACTTATTGCATACCCAAAAATATAAGGTAGGCTTCAGTATCGACATTTCCAGTGATCTTAATCTTCGTAATGGTGTGGAACGTAAAAACGGCGAGCGAAGTTTAACAAGGTGCACTACCAAGTAAAAAATAAATAAGAGTTTTATTCTCGCCACTTGTGTTGATGAGTTTAATGTCGATTGCTGCAGCGTTAACTCCACCACCGCCACCGCCACCGTCACCCCCTGAAGAACACGCACCATTACCAACTACCCACCAAATTCGACATCTTCTACTCAAGGGGAATGGGTTTGAGTTTTTCACGGGGTGGTTAATGGATTTACGTGGAGGATACGTGAAGACAGTTCAAATCCCTCTTTTTTAACCTATATTGCATTATTTTATGGTGAGACTGGTGGCGAGAATGAAGCCCGGCCTGGTCCGCCTTTTTATATGTTCGTAAACAAGGAGATGGATATTATTCCGAGAGAGTAATCACCGCCTGACGTACGACTTTCTCTTCTTTTCACCCATAAATAGTGTGAATACATGGATGTACATACACTCGCCCCTTCATACGTGCGCATATATATCCAAGTTTGAAACCAATCTGCCTATTTTTACATGCGTCTCTTAAATCATTCGGGATTGTGCGTGTCTTTTTTCTCTATTTCAGAAACAATCACAAAAGATTCTGTTTCAAACCCATGTTTTTTAGCTTTGTGTGATATCGATTCATTGCATGGTTATTCGACACGTGCATTCGAGTCCGCGATATCTGGGAGTAGTAATCGCTTGTTTAGTTTGGTAGTGAAAGCAACAAGGACGATATCTAATTTCATGTTGCGTACAGATGACAGTGTGTGCTCTGTAATAGGATAGTTCGTATTTTTTGCTTTTTCTTGAAATGTTTTCCTAAATTGGAATGCTTCGAATGTTGATAACTACACACCGCAAACATGGACGAACTATGTAGGTCACAACCATGAAGTATTATTATTAGCATTAGCGATAGGAAGCGGGAAAATAATATCAAATTTGTCGTTTTTCAACTGCAAAACAAACTTTGTAACAGGGTGTACATTTGTAAGTATAATGTGGAAAATGGGCAGCCAATCTAATAAATGTAGGCAACTTGGCTACCAGGTCCTGCAGCCCATTTGCACGTATACATATATACCCATATACTCCGATAATGCTCACAGTCCTGTGCTAAGCTATATGAATGAATGTGTACATACGTATGTTGGTGTTCCTATTTAACGAGTATTTGAACTGAAGCTGGAGAGTCCGAGTAGGAAATAATTTCACCAACAGGTACATTATCAAATCATGGGAATTAATTAAATCCCGGATAAGTTGGTATATGGTATTACCGAAGAAGGAAATAAGCCCACAGCCGTATCTGTACCATCAATTAGTGCTTGTATTTACAATTCTGTAATTTATAGCTGACCATGACATGCCTTTGTAATTACTAATGTGCACTGTCTTTATTTCTCTTATAAATTTAGAATATGATCCCTTTTGCATTAGAAATTGCCAATGTGGACCATTTACGACCTACTCCGGATACTGGAGTGAGGATTTTGGGGCAGGAAATATTAAAAGCGTTAAAAGTAACTAATGGGCTAATTTGGTGATGTTAGCGTTTTCCCCAGCTCTCTGGAAGTAAGAGCCATCGAATCCATATAGTGCTGTTGGCAAGGGGGCGAATCGCATGTATTCGTCCTCCAATATACGCAGACTTTATTACCAAATTAGTGAAAAAGAGAGAGCCCATCAAACTCTCTATTATTAACTGTGAAATTGCCACTGAGTTATGAAAATGGGCGTGTCTTGCAAATGTATATCACCAATTCATTACATTTCAGCTCAACGAATGCTCTGAAATGAAAGAATAGGAATGCTTCAGAGTGAAAACCTGCGAATACGGAGTGGGATATCTCCACCACCAAGATTGCTTTCACTATTCGCCTGCTATCATGCAGCCCTAAATATAAATCTATGCATGTGTAAAATAAATTCACACGTTAAGTCCGCATACGCTTTCAATCGCCTTGGAGCCATGAACCTCATCTATAATAACCGAATCACCATAAAAATCTCGAAAATGAAATAAAAGTGAACTGGTTGTTGATCTGGATGGCAAATAAATAGTAAATAAATGCGCAAACTGCGTCTGCGCCTCTACAAACTGCATATTATAGATACATGCAAAAATACTAAGGATAAGACGTAGGGCACAACTTTTCAACTTATTTAAATGCTTAGTGAAACAACTTATTGCTTACTTTCGATTTATATTATTTGAAGAGCACGCGTGTTTCTGAACAGAGCTCCAAATTCTTTTCTAACCAAACATTTATAAGTAGTTCTTTCTTTCACGTAGGCGTGCCTGCATGAATAAATGGTCAATATGTACGTATAGAAAGCGTTGATGCCTAAATCTCTTAGGATAAGATTAAAATACCAAAGATGTTCTTGGATAGTGGGGATTTCAGGACACTGGCAATATGCGCTGGAGTTTTATGGTGAAAGTGTATAGAGCTAAAGTGCTTAGGCGATGGAAAATCGTGAGAGAAAAGTAGATTGTCTTGTTCTCGGAGATGGAAAACTCTTAAAAATTAATCCCTTCCTTATTCTCATACGCGATTCCAAAATTACCAGCTTTCGAGAGTTGGAAGTATATGTTAGTCATGTATCGTTTCACAGCTTACCTTTCACCTTTAAATAATCATCTTGTCTTAGATCCAGCGTTATGTAAGTGCTTTCACTATTTCCATAAAAATTGCTGGCGTATGTTTGGACAAGTAAAACATAAAAGATTGTGAAACCCATTTTTAATAGGGTACAAGTTGATCACTGACACTCTACCAACTCGGCAATAATAGAATATACCGACACATAAACTAGCACACGTGACTCATGAACCCTAAGCGCTACAAATACGATTTAGTTCATTAATTATAGAACACCCAACGTACCGAACTCATATGGTTTCACGATGAAATGAGGCTTGAATATGAATTATAATTAAGAATTGTTTTGATTTCATTGATAGCTTGGACGTGAGAGGCAAGCATTTCAGTGCCGCAAAACATTGGTCTGCCGACGTTCCATTTGGGAAACGTGGTAAGTTTTGATTCATTATTCTCAAGTTGTTTTTAACCGTGTGTCTCATCTAGCAAGTATTGCATTACATTGTCTTAGCGACGTATAATCATATCCTGACCTACACTAATCGGGATATTATTCCTTGATTTGACGATTGATTGATTTGATTTGATTCATGGACGCGGATAAAGTAGTTTTGTCATGTGATGTAAATTAGAGCGTCGCTTTCAAGTATGATTAATTAGAAAACCACTGAACCACATATAATTTGATTCATGTTGATGATTTCCAAAGGGCATTTTCAAACCACATCCGAGCCTGCAAGACTAATCGTAGAACCTGTAAAGGTAGAAGACCAAGGTGTTTATCGGTACGTTGGATTGAATTTTCGTAATAATATAATTTTATTCAGGTGAATGTATTATATTCGCAGAGTTACGTTACAAATATAAAGAGTCCAGTGCTGTGCAATTAAACATAAAATAACGCACACCACCAATAATGCCTAACGAATAAATAAACACTTTCACTTCGCACATTAGTTAGTAATGCATATATTTTTAGTCGTATATTCACATTTGATACATAATTATAGGTGTCGAGTGGATTTCCGTAATTCACCAAGTCGTGAGAGTCGATTGAACTTAACCGTCATTGGTAAGTAATGTTTTTTATTGCATATATGCTTATTATGCCATTCATTGACTCCTAAAATTAACATTTTGTTTAATATTAAATGTGCTAAAAAACTTTATTAAGAGAAATATGATTTTGAGACTGAAACTCACAAGAGGAAATATAACTGATATAAGAAAATATACATGAATATCTGTATGTGCATAAATATTATGTGCACATATGCATACACACAGTTGAGTAATATACAAATATATGCATATTTTTATAAAATTTCCATTTTGGCTGAGTTTGTGCGTAACTACCGCATGTTTGCGTTACAACAAACTTTACAACACGTGTATCGAACCAGGTAAAATCTACAAAATATGAGCTTTCCAACATCCGGAGCTAGTCAGCTATGCATTATTTTGCGAAGTCAACATTGTGAGAGTCAACATTTGGCTGTAGGAAGCACCCCGCGCGACACAAGGCTGGGAGATGAGCATCGGGAAGAGACAGACCTTTTTCAAGATTTTGATCCTAAATGTCAAAGTCAAGTCTGATATTTGGCCAAAGGGAAGGATAGAAAGTTGGAGAAAGTGTCACATTACAGACAGGGCTAATATACAGTTTGTTGTAAATAAAATCCCAAGCGGGTGCTTTACTTTACTTGTGCTCCCACCACCACCACCAGTCATCCCAATCTCGCTCAATACAGTAGTGGAGGCAAATAATGGGAAGACGACAACCAGCCAGCCAACCAACCCAGTTTTGTTCGGTCGGGTCTCACTATCACTCTATTCTGACACCCAAAACCCTATTCACTTTCTCCGTTCCGCTACACAAACAACAGGACCACTCGGTCGCAGTAGTCTCAATGCGACATGTTGCAAGCTTTGACATGAGCCTCGATCGGATACAATTTATCAAATGCATGAGATACTGGAGGATGCTTCTCCCCACTCTTGCCATACATTTTCTTCGGGCTGCGGCCAAAATGAAAATTCATCTTGCGAACTAGTCATGGCATGGCTGCAAAACATTGTTTCTCAACTTGCGTGTCAAGTTGGGGTATTGCATTTTGTACAATTACTTTTTTCCTTGTTTATTCTTTTACTCGTCTGATATCGCTGCGAGAATCTCACATATAACGTAATGGCACCAGAGACGCTAGACCTCTTAAACTCATAGATGCAGAGAACCGACAAAGACGGTGAAAACCCAATGCGTTGTTGGTCTTATTCATTCCCATGTGTATGCATATATATGTATTATTTGTATATATATATTCCTATTTATGTATATCAAGTAGAATATGTAACATTATACTGTTTTACGTACGCTATGCATGGTATCGTTTCTTCATTAAATCCACGCCCGCCATATCTCAGCAGACTATCAATCCCGAGGAGATGAAAAGAAGATGAAGCAGCATTTGCAAAATAAGTAACATGTTATCCTATACGTACGTATGTATGTATTTCATATATTGAAACGTGGAGCCGCATGTACGAGTGCATTACGAAGCAACCAGAAATACTGCATGCAACCAAATTACCTCCTCCCGCATGGAGAATAAATGTGAAGATAAATGTATGCAGCTTGGCAGTGGGTGTGTAAACATACGTCGTGAGAACAAGAAGGAGCAGCAATGCAATGAAACCGCAATAAACGAGCATAAGCGTGGCCGAATAGAGGGACGGCTATAATGCTGCATGGACGTATTGTAACAGGAAGAATGTGAGCAAATGGGTAAAAATCAGGAAAGTTTTTCATAAAATAACAAGAAGCATGTTGCAAAGAAAAGACGAACGAGGAGTCGAGACAAAAGATAACTGACGGATGAATGCTTCCTTAACCAGTTCTTTCTCTCTGCTTTCTCTCCTCTCTCTCTCTGGTGCTCCTCAAATGGGAGGGAGAAGGGAGGCATAAGCTTTTGTCTGAAAGAAATTTGCTTAATGCTTCTGTTTTTAATGGGATGGATGGGATAAAATAAAATAACTAACCATAACCAACAAAAGCGTAGCATTGGTGGGTGGATGGGTGGTGAATCTATTTCTTGGCGTATATGCATAGCTTCTCTCTCTCTCTCACTACTTTAGATTAAAAAGAGGATGAAGGGTTGCCCAATTTTTCCTTTCATTCAGCCCTCCCAGTCACTCACCATCATCAGCCATACTTAAGTTCCAAGAATGAGCCTTTTTTATTAATTTAGCAGCAAAAAATCTTCGAAACTTGTTCATGAGTGCATGATGAAGGAAGCATCAAGTTTGATATTGCTCAGCACAACAAAATCTGACAGAAGTACATACGCACATATGTGGTTGCCTACTTAATTATTGTGTATTTACATAAAACAACTATATAAATAGGTTACACGTGTTCTCTTGTTTAGAAAATATGTAGGTGTGAATACTAAATTGAAAATATTTTATAGTCGGAACTATATGCTACCTGCTGCTAAATATTACTTAAAAAAAATTAAAGTGTGGATTACTTTTCACTCTTGTAATTAAAAAAAGTACATGACTTGAGGCCGTGTCAAGTTTCCACTAATCACTTTTCATAGGTTTTTACATGTATTTAGAGACGCATTTGGGTTTCCTCCATAAAAATGAGTTTATAATTTACTTGAGTAGTAGAACTCTCTCTCGCCCTCATTGCATTGAAGCAAGTATCCGAACTAAACTCTTCCTTCGAATTTTAAATTCTAAACTGCACTTTATGGTGACTGCGTTCAACTTTGCTGCTAAGCTTCATTTGCTTCTTTGAACATCAACAGCCGAAGGGATTTTCATTAAGGAAATGAGTCAGCCTTGTCGGGTAGAAGAACCAACGATCTGTACTTTTCTAAAATTCCGACTTTTCTGTCTGCATTAAACTTTCAAACTAAAGTAAGAAGGGTGGAAATGTATCAAGTCCACTTGGATCGTTACAATTCCAATTCATCATTCTGTGTGCTACACAAACCTGTACCAACACCTCATTTTAATTATTATCTCCTATCCGTTTTAAATAAGTATGCCCAGATATATCCTTGTATAAATTCACCAAACCCACCTCAAAGCATTACAATATTCAAAATTTTCTTGGTATAATTTAATTTAATTGTGCAAACCCCTGTTATTTGTTAATTTGAGATAAGATGAATTTTAAACCTGATCGTTATAAACTATAAGGATCCATGCTATCAAGATCTCTCACGGATAACATAGTGCAAACTTTTATTTCGCAAACTTGTGCCAACAAGAGGCTATCGTATTTATGTAGCTTATAAAACAATTGTGCAGCGATACAAACTGTGGTGGAAAGAGTACACCTTTGTTTTCCATTGAAATTTGCATTGATGGAAAATTTGATGATTTCAGAAAATGCTAATATGGTAATTTCTGTATTTATCGTGTTTAATAAATCAAATTTATTTATTACAGTGCCTCCACAAGAACCGCAAATTTTCGAACACACGGGTATGAACGTTCGAGGTGAGGTGGGACCCTATCGCGAAGGATCGACGATAGAATTAACGTGCATCGTCCGCGATGGTAGGTCACGATGAACGCGATTTCGTTATTTCTCTCAACGGTGTCATAATGTTGAAATTCTAAAGGTGCTGCTGTAGTTAAAAGTCAACAGCTCGTTCCACCTTGTGCTAGGAATGCACCCTACTCGCCATACATGCCATACCTGCCAAGCACGGTCCTTGGGATCGTCGTATCACGAATTCACGAGGCCTCCTGGAATGAATAGCAGTCAGCTCACTCGCCTCGCTTTCTCTTTTTCCGCTACTCCAAATCCTGAATTCATGAATTAACAGTTCTTCTGTGAGCAGTGAGCGTTTCTCTCAAATGAATTATCGTTGTTGAGCACCACTCAACCTCACCAGCTTAACTTTTGGCGAGTTTTGTACTCTTGAAATAGCATATGTTGAGAAAGTATTTTACTTAACGACGAAAACGTGATAGCACGTAAAGAAAGAAACGTCTCCCATGATCACTATCATCAAGAACAGATGAACTTTGCTTCATTCAACGCCCTAATGTTGAGAGAAAGAGTCAATTGGGTCGTACGCGTCTCGAGTCAGAGCATCTAAATTTAAAGTGTAAAAAAACGCGCGTAGTTGTGTAAACCGAAATGACGCAGACGTATGCCATTTTTTCTGCTCACAGCTAAATAAAGTGGATATATGCAAGAAGGCAAAGTGAGTAAAATATAAAGAGTCACATTATTTGTCTCTCAGTTGGACATGTTTCAGTCATTACGCAAGGAACGACGTCAAATGCGAAAAGAATCTAAATTTGCTTAAACAGAGCGTTAAAGAGAAAATTAGTTTTACTTTGCAAACGAACTATAATTTCAGCAGAATTCTGAAACTTGGAACAACTGAGTCGCATTACCAAAGGGTAATAAATGATCATGTAAAAGTGGTCATCTACGAGATGATGACACGTTGTTGGTATAATTGACTAAGGAAGACTTCCTAAGCGTCACAGATAAAGTAAGTACAGTAGAAACTTCCAGTTCCATTTTCCCTTCTTTCACCAACGTTGCCAAGATCATGGACTTCTCCTGGCTTTCCCAAATCCTAAGCGGCTAAATAACAGTAGCTTTTAGCACTCAACAAATATTTCACCTCGCATTAAGTGTTTACAAATTTACGCATATAAAAATGCAAGGACGTGGATGTATGTATCTGTAAAAGGGGTAAAATAAGCACGAGTAGACAAATACCCAAGACACACCTAAGCACATAGGACCATCGGTATCTCTCCTTTCATGACGAGGAGTCTAATAAATCCATTCACTTTCGCTCATGGTTGTGGTAGCACGGGTAGTGGCAGCAGCCAAGGAAGATGTCATGAAAAATAAGTATGTACTCTTAATAATGGAGATAAATCTTGTGAAGAGATGCATTAAATACAAAGTCTGCGCCATGTGCTTGGGTGCTGGAAGACCCAGCACATTTGATTTACGGCACTTTGTCTTATTATCTACACATTTCTGCCGGGTGACTGCAATGCATTTTCCACTTATAAATCATCGTGGACCTGGCTCACGAAAACGGAAGAAGTTGGTCTGTTGCTTACATAATTCTTTTACGGGGACGGCATGAGAGTCATCAACATTTCTGACCTGGAGAGCAAACCAGTGAATAGAGTTAAATAAGTCTGAAGTGGTTAGCTTTCTTCGATATCGTACAAACCACCTCAACCGGATGGTTCGAGGCTATATATTTAGTTGGTGACCGTGTTTATGTCCAATGTTCTCACATAGTATGATTTAAGTTGGCTCAAGTTTTCCTGTGCTCTGGCTGCTCTGACTTCCGGATCCGACGTGCGGGTGTTGGACTTTTCGAGTTGATGGTTGCTCACAGAATTCCTTCGTACAAAGTTTATACCTGCATCGAGTGGAGCGTGGAGTGTGAAGATATAAGTACGTACACGGGACGGGTATATGTTCATCGAGGTATTTATGTCACAACTGAGCTGCGTAAACTATTTCTACTCGAATGCACGCAATATTATTATTTTATTTGTCCCAGTTAAGATGGACAAAGCAAATAAATTTCCGTGAGAATAAGTCGAGTCACGACGCGGCTGGTAAGTAAATAAGAAATTGAGCAAGTGAAAATAGAGGCCACGCTTTAGTAGTCGTCTGTCTGGCCTGAACTTTTTCCGCCAAAACTACTTACCAAATGACGTTCACTCGGTATTTATTTGCCAGTATTTTTGATCATTTGTCAGCATTACGTGTGCACTTGCGTAGTAAATACTAACGGAGGTGGTTATTTAATGCATAGGTGAAGAATTGCTGTGGTAAACCAATTATTATTTCTCACAAACGCGACTCATGTTTGACATTGAGTGACCAAAATTAATTTTCTCTCGTTTTTCGCTGGAAGATACACATTGTCCCAAACTCTATTATTTCCAGAGGTATATACGTTTGGTAGAAATTCCAAATTTAACAGACTAGTGATTGTTTGCATAACCACGTGGTGATGAAGTATGTCGCAAGTAAATGAATGTGAAAGGGACCAAAACCACTACCACTTTCACAGAAGATGGATGCGAATCCATAATGCTCAATTTATCGGATGGCTAGGCTTCGGAATACTAAGAGTAACTAAACATGTATGGACAGACAAATTTCCCAGGTCCACCTCACTATTAATGACGCGGTCTGGCTCGTCTGACTATGTAATATGTGCTGTGCTGCCAAGAAATCCAACAACAGAATGCTCCTAGAATGGCAAATTGAATCAACCTGCAAAGTTTTGGGTGTGGACGACTCATTGCAAATTCTACCGGCTCAACGATCCTCTTGCCTCCAGCTTCATTTCAGCTTCAAGGAGAATTGCTTTGCGTCGTGGAGTCATCATTCGTTGGAGAAATGAGAACAATGAATTCAGTTAGCGGCTTGCAATACCTTGGCACATTTCCTTTGAAATAAAGTAATATTCCTGAATTCACTTAGGTAACATTGTGTGTGTGTGTGGTGTTATTTGTAGAACATCTGTTAACACACTCATTTGACGCACAAGTACAAAGGCGAGCGAGCGAGAGAGCGAGGCGAGTGAGCGGTGGGGAGAAAGCGAATGAATTTCCCCAGTAGTAGAAAGTAATTCCGGTTTCCAAAACCAAGGATTTAGAGTTGATTGCTATACAGGGAGCTCTTAAGTTGACTTTGGCTGCGGTATCCAGTTTTGTGATCTGACTGGTATGGCACGGTGGTTGGTAAGGGTGACTGAGTCGATCATTAATTCATGCGGGGCATGTGTGTGATTTGGTTTCATATGATTTCAGGATTCCCAAGTCCATTGGTCATGTGGTACCTAAACGACGATCTTGTGGACTCTTCATACCACGCGGAAAATGAGAATCAAGTTATAAATCACATTTCAGTGCCAAATATTCAGGTATATAAATTGCGTCTATAAATACGTATATTAGGTATATATATATGTGTAAATATGCAAATATTCATTCCAAATATAGAGAAGTCAGCACCGAGCTAATCTGGAGTGCCGTGCACGGAATACGGTTCTTATCTCTCCCGTATCAAAGACTGTCAGCATTGAACTCAATTGTAAGTTAATATTACTCTCACTCATCTTCTTTTACATGACTGCGTGCGTGCGTGTTTGTGTGTCGAGGACATGCTTTCACTTGATTTGCCAAATTCATTTACCCATCCAGAACCAAGATTTGATTCCAGAGATTATCCTAAATTTTACGCCTCGCACTCCTCACTCCTCTCTCCGCGTTGCATTCCATTCCTCAATTTCAAAATTAAAAGTAATCAGGCATAAATTCTCTCCAGACGCAGAGCGGTGCACATCCTCTGGGGACAAATTGCATAGCTTATCGTAACTATAGCTTATCTTGCGTAATTTGTTATATGGATATTGATTCTAATGAAGACTTACATGTAATAAAGTATCAAGCAGATCTATTTCAGAACCATTTTAAAATTTGAAATAGGCATAAATACATAATTGTGAGAATACGACGAGTTCCTTGGGTGTGAATTTACCACCTGCATTTGAAGCAAAAATGCTAAGGTTGCTCATGACGGGATCGGAATGGAAATTATGTCGGATTGTTCACGTCTAGCGGGGGGTAATCCAGTTAACAGTTCCATGTACCACCTCCATAATTATGAAAGTGTGAAGGGTAAATTGCCAAATTGTTCAGGTATAGTGCTCTTATCAGATTGACCACAGAAGACAGACTGTATTTATGGCTGTAATTTAAGACATTGATCGGTGACACGACGGTTGGGTGGTTGGTGGTGGTGGTGGTGAGCCTTGGTTCATGGTGATAATGGGACTGGTGTGACTCTGTGCTGTGTACGTGCATACAACCAAGGACTTGGTGGAGAAAGTTGGAGGTAAATCAGTTACACTTGGCTATTCCGCAGCTAGACAGGCTGATCCTGGAACAAACGCATTGACAGATAACAGACAGCTCCAACAAGCCATCCATCAAGATCTTGCAAAAGATAGTCACAAATCGAAATATGTTCTCAATCCGTGTCGTTCCCTCCCACGACCACCACCGCCATTCCGATTCCGCATTCCCCATTTTCACTCTCTGGCTAAAACATGATAAAAGGGACTCTGTCAACCGTGAAAGTGTAATTAGCACCTGCATTGATTAGCGAAAGAACAAACGACGAATTATTACTAGTGTGCTAATTACAGGGGAGACGTGCCTGATACACCAACATCAGGAAGAGACGAGACAACTTGGCATGAATTTCTGAGGGCGTTGTAAACATCAACCGTACATTCAGGATATGTTTATAAGTATTTATGTATGACGTATTTATATACGTACGTACGAGGTAGTATACGCCTTTATCTTTCTAAGAATACTTTGCCCTATGTTTCATCCTCCTCCTCCTACGAATGTATGTGTCAGTAAAATCTCCATGACGTTGATTGGCCGGAACGAGCATTTGGGTTTCGTTCGATCGCATATAATGCAACCACCACCGTCTCTCTCAAAGTCTGATCTAGATAACAATCGGACGCGTCGAAGATTGAATTAGTCCCAAATCCAGAGTCTGTCTTCTAGAGTAAAAAATTTAGTCACGTAATCCGACTACCAACCGACGCTAAGTAGACGCTCTATCTTCCCACCCACCCAGCAGCAACTAACTAACTTGCACTATCGAAAAAAGGGCTACATGACGATGATGGGATATAAGTAACTTTTCATTGCGCACCCTTCAGCTCTTAACCAACTTTTTAATAAGGAGCAGTCAGCTTGGTAGTTTTAACTGTGGGTAGTGTTACATGAACATGGAACAAGCGAAGAAGAAGAAGAAGAATTAGGCGAGGAAAAGTTGTTCCTTTGCAGTCACTTGAGGCATATGGACACTTGATGTAAGATTAAATAAACGGCGACCAACCCATGGCTTTCTTTTCTCCTTCTTCTCACTCCTTTGTTATAAATGCCTATCTCGTACCCCGTTCTCTGAGGGGGCGATGGAGAAGGGAGCACATACATATACACACAGAAATCGATTATGTCTCAAGTGAGTGAGTAAAGAAACATGTCGAATTGAGCCTCTGACGATTAGAGAAGATTCATTTAGTCAAGAGGGAAAGTCGTTTAGATTTGGATTGGTCTCGGAGACATACTGCTGCCTGCTTCTCTGCGGAAACGGAGACGTTTTTTTTTGCACTCGCACTGCACATACAACTAGATTAAGCAGGAGATAACCATGGCATAGCACACACACATACCAGTCAATGCTCAGGTTCCATTGAATGTGGATCTTGAGAAGGAAACAAAAAAGTTTTGAAAACTAACTCGATCCAGTCTCCCATCCTCTCTGATGACAGAAAGAATGAGGCGAGAAAACTCAGTTAAGCACTTTAGGCGCAGTTTGCGGAGGTTGACTTGAATCAGCCGATGAAGAGGAAGAAAAAGCATTTTACAAAATACCAAGTAGCAAAATGAACGCTTTCTCTCTTGCATTATTTTTTTGATCTAATTCGATTATTTGATTTATCACACTCAACCCACCACTCACTCCGAACTATCCAAGAACCGCTCGAAAAGTGTTGAAACGAAGCATCGCATTCTAAGCAGGTCAATTAATTTACTCACGAGGAATGGAATGTAATCAATTGCAGGAGAGAGAAAAAGAGTTCTCTCCTACTTAAATACACGTGTATTCATACATGCACAAAAAAAGTTTAGAGAATTTGCTACTCACCAAAAAAAACTTTTTTTTTCTTCATCAACATTCAACAAATGTATTTGTATCAAAATTTAATTTAGCTTACGTCTTTATCTCATTTCCTAATTAAACTAGTAAAGTTGGATTAGTATAGTTAAATATGTATGTGAGGATATATGCATGTATGTATGTATATCAGATTAACGAAGGAGGGGGAACTCGGATTAACTAAGGATAAGCGGCTCAAAATGTGCAACTAACCATGTTTTTATTATTTATTCCAGTACGTCCTCTATCCGTGTCGATATTGCAGCGACACAGCCAACTTTCTACACATACTCAGTATGAAATTACATGCGAGTCTTGGGGATCGCACCCTCCTCCCACTCTGCTTTGGTTCTTGGAAGGTCAAGAACTAAAGGGGGTTACAACAGAGGTAAGTACATTAGTGATAGCCAACTTCCATTATTGTTCGGCAGCACTCAAAAAGTCCATAATGCTCACATGTATGTAACAGCTAATAACATTTATCAATGGGAAAGTTAAGGGGAAAAGTTGGGGGAAAGAATCTCTCCAGATAAGCTAATGGAAAAAAGACATACTGAACTTTTTGACCCCTGTCAGAACTGCAGAGCAACAGCAGTGAACATAATTATTAGTTCAAATATGACATCATCTTCCAAGTGGTCACATATATTGATAAAATGCGCCTTTTCTTTTATGAATGTCATCCTGCTAGCCGTATCACATGGCGACTTTCGCTCCTTGTGGGTCCCACATTCGTTAGTGTATTAAATAATCAGGATACCCTCCACTGCGCTTAATTTCCCTCGCCTCCAAGCCAACTTCAACTTCACACCAACCACCTCGAGTTACGGACAGCAGCAGTTGCTTAATCTCGTTCTAGCTTCACCCCAGTCTTTCACCCGAGAAAGTAACTGTTCCGGTATTTTTTTACGCGTAACTACAAAAGATTTTGTTCCGCCAGCCACCCCTCCATGCGAACTTTGTCATAATTCACGGATACGATATTTTATAGATGGGTAGACTGGAATGAAACTGACTGGACACTGGTTCAATGAGATACCGGAGGGTGAATTGTAACGGTTCTGGGCACTGCAGCCAAGTAAAAGGTCCATGGAGAAAGAGAAATGTCTTGGAATAAGCAAAAAGTTGGATAATCTTTGGCCGTGGGGTCTTTCTCGCTTTCTCCTACTTCATTTCGTGCCAGGCAATCCATGTATCGACACTTTACAACTGTTCTTCTCGCCACGTATCTATCTATTTATCAGAGTCGAGGCTTCTTGTTTTTCTGCCCGCATCCGTGTGACGCAGACTTGACCACAGGACGACCACTTGCCTTTCTCCATCCAATTCAGGGGTGATGGAATGGATGGATGCCCAGAGCGGTTCGTTGACGTGATGGTCAGCATGGAATTCCTAAAGGTGTGAAATGGATAAGCAGTGATGACATTGATGAGTGACAAGTCCTTAATAGCTGTGGCCACTGTCACTGCACCCCTGTGATTCCAAAGATGGATGAGTCGCTTTCTTGGCGCTATTGTCCCCTTTATTCTTCTCTTCCCATTCTTTTCACTCGCTCCTCGTATGTATAAATATACGCCTTGGTATATGTTGCTGCATCCTTTTCATTTTGTTGGATTTTCTGTCATTGATCTTGTCATCCTTCTCCTTCAACCGTGGTGAAATGCAACGTGGTCAGGCTCGTTAAGACTTTACTTGAGGTAGTCTTCGCAAGAGTGACTTCGTCATTTAACTGGTTTACTTGTCTCTCCTTTGTCCTTGTCTGCACTCTCCTTCTTCGCCTCCTCCTCACGGAATAAAGAAGGTCTAAGTAGATTCTAAGACGTGTAATACTTCTTTCGAGGCCTGAGCCCTTCCTGGATCTGACTCAACTCAGCATAAGTTTCTCTTCTTGGCATAACTTTCACTACTTGCTCCAGAAGAGTTGCTTTATTGCCGCACTTATTTCCATTTCGCCTTGAAGTTTGATCTTTATATGAGGCCGTTATATAAAGGTTTTTGAATAAGCTCTGCGTGCTTATAGGATTCGAATCTTTGGTGCCATAAGTTGGAATCTCCTTTGTGTACTTTGCATTGATTAACATTGAACTGCTAAAGTGTTTTTAATACTTTATCAATTTTATATGAGGCTAAATATTTTACATTTCACATCCATCATTGCAGAAAATCGTGGGAAAAGACGTGCATAAATGATGGAATGTGAGAATTTGAAAAACATTCGTGTTCTTTCAAAGCTTTCATCTTCCTTCAATATTAAGACCATGTTTTTCTCAAGTTCATCACTGCATAATTGACGAGGAAAATAAATTTACCAACGAGTTGAAAGTGGAACAATAGACATGTTGTCAAGCGTCTACCACTGCAACCTGCAATATTACCAGCATCATCAGTCAGGTTGGTCCATGTTTTCACCACCACGAGCCACATGCACATGTACGTATAACATCAACAACCGTTTACAATACTTTTTCCTCTCTGTCGACTTTCCTCCACAGAAGTTGAGCTGCGTAGGCACAGACAGAAACCTGCATTGCCCGAGTGCAAGACTTTCATCTCAAGTTGTTGAATGATTTAAGAGTGCGGAGAATAAACTGATGGCAAAGACATGGAAGAGCGCTTTCCCTTGGAGAGTAAAATTTCTTAAATGTTGTAAAGTGTATACTCTGCTCTCACTGAGCCCCGTATTCTATCTCCTCTCCATTTATTGTGCCTTCGGATTACAAGGGGTGTGTGTCGGCAATTTTTCACCTTTTGTCTGCCTAATATGCAGGCCTCCGCCAGTCCAGTGCTAGAGACAAGAGACATTTGATATGATGAAAGATGCCACTATAGTGGCACACGAGTTTTATTGTAATTTTATGATCTCCCTCTCTGTCGCACATACATGTACATACTCCTTCTGCAATTTTCTGCTAACATACTGCGTGTGTGTCAGTAAATACATACATATTCCGAGTCATATAGTTTATGACTATATTTTACAACATGTACCACTCATAAAGTTGCATTTGCATTTAAACACAATTTGTTAGTCGAATGAAATATTTTTTATATGTCCCATTTGTATCTGTACATATGCTGTAATGCAGTGAGTATCTGTACCGCGCAGAATTCTGTCGCACCATGTCTGATAACTATGTATGTATGCATACAATGTAAGTTTATGTAAATATTTACATAACATAGTAACAGGAAAGAATGCACCTTTGTAGTACTTAATAATTAAAGTATATGTACATATCCAATGCAGGGCTAAGTATTTATTTTTTCTTGATGTATTGGCACCAAAATTTTGTTAATAGAAATCGGATTGTAATTAACTTTACTTATTGCAGGAATCCAGGTCAAGTAATACTTCAGTGTCCAGGCTGCTCTTCACTCCTACTCCAGAGTTTGATGGGAAACGCTTGATTTGTCGAGCCTCAAACCCTCTGCTGCCTGGCACTGCAATCGAGGACTTTTGGCAGCTACGCGTTGTGTGTAAGTTTTTCACTTTCACCCCATTGTGCGAAAAGAGTGCCATTAAACCATTACAGACTTGTTTCGAAGAGACACTCCCACCCTTCGGATTAGGTGAACCAAGAAACATGAGCGATGAGGAACAAACGATCTAACGTTACATTTTTAATGTGGTGGGCGTAACGCTGTTTCTCCACACTAAATATTTCCATTACATTCTTGACAAGTATAGAAAGATATTTTCAGAAAGAAAGCGAGAAGTTGAATTTGATGGTTGTATAATTCATTGCGTCGATTTTTCTAAGTTAGCTGTATTTTATTTGATAAGATAATCAAGTTGAAAAAATCATACTATGGTTTCATTATATTATATAAAAAAAGAACTGCACTGTTCAAACACGGTGGATTAGACCAAAAATGATGTTGAAATTTTTTGACCCACACGGACTTGTCCACTCAAACGTGGTGAAAAGTGAAAGGTTTTATTAAGGAGTAGTTCAAACCCTACCAGTCACCATCATACATACATATGTACGTATGTACGTATATGTGCCACCGCATCACTAGTCAGAAAGAGGAGGAGGCAGCAAATGTCTTTCCAACTCCCGTCTGTCGTCAGCCTCGTGCTTCAGAATGTTGAATGTGCACGCATCAGTAACTCGTTATTTGAAATGCAATTTCCTCTGCCAGTTACAATGAGTGTGGATTAGAGGATGCGGATCTTGACTTGAGTCAAGAACTAAGAATTTGTTCGTGACCAGACCCCAACTCACCACCAACAACGGGCGAATTGAAAGGGAAAGCACCTATATCTCGGTGTGCTCGTTGGTTCGCGGGTTGGTGTCTGGTGGGAGAGAAAGTCATATTTTCTCAATGTAGTGGTGCAGGACTCGTCGGATTATACAATCACATCACAATCAGATGATCACAATGGGAGAGGATTTGTATCTGACAGGATGAGTCTGATTTGACACTTTCGTCGAAATTCGAAAATTGGAGAAATCTTTACTGCTACACAATCCAACCATCACCACCAAAGTATTACATTGGTTGCGAATTTAGCATCATCGTCTGTCAATTTAACTGCGTAGTTTGGGCCCTTTCGGGTGGGTGGTGGTATCGTATAACACGTTGTGAATCCAATCGATGCAGGCTGCATGAATTTCATTTTATTTCCTGGTTTTATCGAAAAGCCATTTCGCCATGCAGAATTATAAGTATCAATTGGTCACGACGACAAGGACGAATGCACGGAATAAATATGTACCTACGTATGTAAGAAGGTAGGAAGTGGTCAGAGAACGTGGAGTCGGTGTTGGTTTTATTGTTTTTATGTTCCTATAGGAAAATGTCGAATCAAAGTTCACAAATAAGGCGAGCTCTTGAAATTGCCCATACCCATGCAGCTTATTCAAGTAAGCTGCACGTGGTAACTGGTTATGGGTACGTACACATATTCTTCTTTTTTACGATCGAACCCACAAAACCACTCGCCGTGACACACACACACACGTAGGGGCGTTGGTATCGAAAGCAGAATATTCAAAATGAGTATGGAATGGGCAGGGGTAGTGACATTTGCACATTTTTACCCTCCTGACACCGTAATATATTGCTTATGCATTCCCCACTCGAAGCTATCTCGTGTCTCGGGTTGTTCTCCATCCAACACGGGCAAATTTTTAGTCAAGTTTTTCCGAAACCTAAACTATTTTGTTGGAATTTTTCTGCACTTAAATACGCTGAGTAGACGGGTGGGTTGGTTGGCAAGCAATTTATCCGACTCTCGTATGTACTATGATGGGATCCCGGAGTAACAATGGCATACGTTTTCTTGCATTCCTTATGCTTTGTGCATCTGTTTTCTTGCATTTCTTGGTATGCAGTAAAGTTTTCTCATGAATACAAACGATTGACAATTGACCCTTTCTTATTGGAATGGTGGCCCTTTCAACCAAAAAATCTGATAACGACACAGTAGAGACTTGAAGTTGATAAGATATCTGTCGAATTTTAGCATAACTTGAAATTGTGAAACCACAACTTTTGGCATTCCCTGAATTTTAGGAAATGTGAAATGCCTGGAGAAATCGAATTCATGTAACAACTAAATGCAACTACCAGTTAAATTACCTTCATCAGAGAAATTTTAGGCAAGTTATAGACTGAAATTCGGGTCAATAATATTTTAATTACATTGAAACGCTAAAAATTGTACAGTCCAATTCAAATTATTTTAAAAGTGCTTGAAATCTGTACAAATATACAAAGTATTTTCGGTTGCTGTGATGTTATCGTGCAGATAAGAGCAGTGTAATTTTCCATTATAAATCGATTCGGGGGAGAGAATTGGAGTAATCTGGGCATGAAAGGAGACGTGATAGAGAATGCCGCAGAGAACTTAGGATTAGGCTGCTGATCTGAACTTTATCCACCAAGCATACCCAACAACTTTACAACCTCGTAGAAACCAACGCTTCTTATTGTGGAAATGTGCCCGAAACAGGCAAATTTCTTGGATTTCTGTTCATGCCGTTACCAGGTTCTGGAACATGAAACCAAACAAGTGAAAGTAGAGGCAGAAATAAAAACCCGTGCCGACTTGCTGTAGCTCGTGGTTTGAGAAAACAGCAAGGTTGCATGCATGACAAATGCAAAATCTTTAATCTAAGATATTTTGGTACTTTTGCTTGCTTTATTCTGAATTAAATCCCGATGATGCGCATGCTAATTTTACTACTGAAGTTACACGGATAAATCTAAATACAAAAAGACCAAAGAGAGGATGGGGGAATAAATACTCTTACTCATCATTCCAAATCCAAAGTACTCGTGATTTCATTGAATCCGAATGTAAATACAAATAGAAAATCAATTCAGACTTTCAATTCTCTGAAACTGCAGAAGATGATGACGGGGAGGCGGAACTGACGGAAGAGCTGTGGATCGGATGCATGATGGAATAATGGAAATGGGTTTGAAATGCTTATCTCATGGGTTGTTATGGTTCCTCTCGTTAAGTAAACTGGGTTAGTTGATTTAGTAAATTGGACGGGAAATGGGCTTTAGAGGAAAGCTGTAATGGTGGGCTTTACTTCATCGCTCCTTAAATCTGCCCGAAAGTAAATTATAAATGGATGTCTCTGATGGTGTGGTCCTTACGAGCTGCATTGAATTGAAATATCAGCGAGTTCACTGACAATATCTGGATACCCACGTTGAAACAATCTCCATGGAAAGGAACACATTTTGTGGTTGGTGACAGTTCATTGTGATTTTTTTCAAAATTATGGCAAATTTTCTGTCTAAACCTTTATCGTCCTTGGATCAGAGAAGCAAAAGTCAACACTAATTTTGATTGTTAACTCTCAACGATATAGAATTATTTTGTATATTTAGATATTGTCTTACAGTTTGGTCATTTGAATTAGAGACTCTTTTGGTAAATTTTCAAATTTTCTGGTAACTAAGAAAAATATTTAAAAAATCTAGAAAGAGCTGTTCACAAATTGTATGCCAACTAAAAAATACAATTGCTATCAAATAATTCATTGCATAAGTCTACGAACGGCTCTTCGCGATTTTTAATTTTAATTAGTTGCTATCCTGGGAAAAATTGCAAAATGCAAAAAGAGTCTCTAATTCAAATGACCAAACTGTAATCCATATCTAGATATGTGAATATGTATATATTTAGTTGGCATGCTTAGGCTTCACTACAATTTTTAATGCAGTGCGTGATACTACAACTCGAAATTGTTGAGCGTTAACAAATCGAGTTCTTATTGACTTGTCTTATTTAGTAAAACAGGAAATATTCACGTTTCCACAAGCTTTGAACTATTTGTGTGCAATTGTTCCTGGTATTGGGAAACTCATTACTGTTTATTCATTGTTCATGTGAGAAATGAGATTGCTTGGCTGGGCTGGAATCAAGGCAAGAAGAAGGCAAACCTAATAAGAGAATACTGGGGGAGCGTATTCTAATATTTGATTATCCGCTTCTCATGTTGTACACGGACGGATGACTACATCCATGTAATAACATACGTGCTTAATCCGATCACAACTTGTTCGCATATCATGTTAATATAAGAATCTATCTATATATTGGTGAAAGCAAACATACCTATCATTGTCATTTCGTACCAGGAGAGAGAAAGGAATATCGTACATGCTGTTCTTGTAAATATTACTTGGAGCTGTATGTTATGTACGTGTATAGCAGGTAAGGTAGGATTAAGTGTAGCTACGACCTGACGTATATGTATGTGTATGTAATGATGTGCGCCTATAGTTTACTCATTTGATCTGATCATAAGTTTTACAAAGGCCTGCATTGACAAGTGATGTTTCTTTGTTCTCAATAGATTCGCCAATATTGTCTCTTCGGTTGGGGTCCTCTATCAACCCGAACGCAATCAAGTTCCAAGACGATGTTTACTATGAATGTGTAATCAGAGCTAATCCGCCTGCTGTAAAATTAACATGGTACCACAATGTAAGTGAACTTTTCCCATACTGTTGATCATCATAAAAAGTTGCTTTTGAAATATAAGTAAATAACTCGACACATTAAAAAATAAACTTACCAACGCATAATTTTCTCTAGCATTGAACCAAAAATCGTTCAAGGAGTTAGTTTTCTAGCCGTGCATATATGTAACACTGGACTTATTAAACAACGATTAAAGATATACGTTAATACGTGTGTTGAATTTTTGACAACACGTGAAGTAACAGTACACCTATTATTTTGATTTAATGCGATTCTAGGTTTCATGTTAAAGAAATTTGAATGAAAATGAAATTGATGGTTTCAGTTTACATATTTACATATGTGAATTGTTCTGTTATATTATTTAGCCACACCATATTTCGTGAGTGTGTGACTGTGTTGTATGCATGTTGAGTTGAAATATTATTCGCACAACTTTATTAAATATTCAGTCAAGTGCTAGGTTTCATATGTGCATTCCTTCACTGCTACCACACGACGGACCCACTTTCACCCTCTCGGCTATCAGCAATCCGATAATCTAAGTCGGTCATTCGGTTGTTGTTGAGACTGCTTGCACATGAAATACACAGTTGAATAAATCACCATGTATGGAGATATTTCTTGCGTAAATTATAATTGCCTCTAACTATATCTAATAATGGTCAAAGGTGTATTTAGCAACTAGAAAGCTTTTGTTGTTACGTATAAGTAAGAATAATTGGGAGTACAGGAAGGTTTGCAGGTATGCATATATAAATACATGTAGATATATACCTAGGTTGGTGTGCCCACCAGTTTATGTAGAACGGGCGTGTGGTCTGCCTTTAAATTGTCCCCTGCTGCACTAAATACGTTCAACATTGCTATGCTTTCACAAATCAGAACGTCACACGGCCACTAAGGGAAAGTCGTAAACTTTATTTTTCCTTACTTTTGTGCGTGCTGTGTTATTGTGTGGTTAAAGGGAAATGACAAGCTGAAAAAATCAATCGTTTCACTTTGAGCTTTGATGTTCGTTTTCATCACGGTTCATATTTAGTTGTAGGTCTGGGCACAAATCATATTTTTCTAGGATAAACTGGTCCGTTGGTACTTCCAACCAACCATCCATAAGGTTTCTTTCCATTTTCCCTTGACGACGAATAAAACAATTCGCTCCGAATTTATCTATAGGTATCGGGTTGACGAAATCTAGCCGTTCAGAGCTAGGTACACACACGTATTATACATATACAGTGCATACGCATACATACAGAATTGATACGGTTTTGATGGGAGCATGGGTAGGTTGGGATTACAAAACTCTGGCCAAAAACCAACTGTCAGTGATATATTACCCGAGCCTTTCATTAGCATTAAAACCTCACTAGCATCAACTTCACTCAGGTCTCTATGACAAGATTGACATTACGGGCTGATGACATGAAGCCGTTGTGCTCCTCCGGTTTGACTTTGGTAGCCAGTCACTGCCATTGACTTTTGAGCAGCTAAGGACATAAAAGAAAGTAGAAAAACAAGAATTCCCGGTATATACAAGTAGTTGTCGTCGTCGTCTCATCGGAAGGCACGATTTTTCAGCAGAATACTGACGAAGCCTGCACAACATAAACTTTCACTTTGTTTCTTATCTGTATAAGTAATGACTTCATTAGGAAAGAGAGTTCTGCTTACTACGTCTATGCTCTGCTGCTCCCATGACAAAATAGTATACGCACAACTAACTACACTAAGCTGTTTAATGTGTGGCCCTTTCTCCTCACAGGTTGATTCCTTTATAGTTCATCTATAAATTTTAGTGCATCTGATTTACCCAGCAGTTTGAATAAGAAACAGTCATTAGTTATAGGCCAAATAAGATCACAGAGTTCCTTCTGCTTTGTTATTTGTGGTTGATGAATAAATTAAACATTATGTTGCATTAATATCGTTAAGGGTTGAAGATGAATGACGTCAAACGCCCTTTACTATTTACTACAGATACTACTTATTATGTAACTCTACTGATTACTCCAAAATTCTTATTGACATGGGTCATTGGTTATGCTGCGACTAGATTTTTTTATAGTTTTTGTCATTAGCGAAATAAAAACCCTCTATAAAAGTATAATCTGTTATTTGAAGCATTTTAAGCTAAGACTTTTTTATATTAATTTGCTGAGTACTTACAAGGGAACCTTAAGTACTGTCACACCTCGATTTCCTTTCGAATCATCTTAATTGATAGATAATTTAGTGTACATAAAACTTTATAGAACATACGGTGCAAAATCACGTTTTTGCGAAACATTTGGCGAAAGCTGCACTAAAACGTGCCATTTTTCCCATGCTTTTAACATAGAAAACAGCCTTCGGAATGAAGTTTATAAATTATATACCTGTCCATAATTTCATGCTGCTCACCAATATGCAAAAAATGCAAACATTGTTCAATTTTTTTCAAATTGCGAAAATCTGCAAAATTTTCTAAATTTTAATTCCGTCGTTTTTTGAAATTTTAACCAAATTTAAATGTTAAACTTCTTTTATTTAAGCATTGCAAAAAGTTTTCAAAGAATAATTATTTTTCTTATTGCAACAAAATTGCCGAAAGTTTTCCAAAATTGAAGCTCATACTTTTTTCATGAAAAAAGATATAATGACTAATGCCAGTTTATTTTAAGTATTTTTCAAAACTGTTGGTTATATTTGTTTTTGCAAGTTGTAATAAATTTTGGGAGTTTATGCCGTCAGCTTTTAACATATTCAACAAAATTTCTTTTCCATGGAAAAGAAATTTTCGTATTTTTTTGACTACTTTGACTACTTTTTTTGACTATTTCTTTTCCATGGAAAAGAAATTTTGTTGAATATGTTAAAAGCTGACGGCATAAACTCCCAAAATTTATTACAACTTGCAAAAACAAATATAACCAACAGTTTTGAAAAATACTTAAAATAAACTGGCATTAGTCATTATATCTTTTTTCATGAAAAAAGTATGAGCTTCAATTTTGGAAAACTTTCGGCAATTTTGTTGCAATAAGAAAAATAATTATTCTTTGAAAACTTTTTGCAATGCTTAAATAAAAGAAGTTTAACATTTAAATTTGGTTAAAATTTCAAAAAACGACGGAATTAAAATTTAGAAAATTTTGCAGATTTTCGCAATTTGAAAAAAATTGAACAATGTTTGCATTTTTTGCATATTGGTGAGCAGCATGAAATTATGGACAGGTATATAATTTATAAACTTCATTCCGAAGGCTGTTTTCTATGTTAAAAGCATGGGAAAAATGGCACGTTTTAGTGCAGCTTTCGCCAAATGTTTCGCAAAAACGTGATTTTGCACCGTATGTTCTATAAAGTTTTATGTACACTAAATTATCTATCAATTAAGACGATTCGAAAGGAAATCGAGATGTGACAGTACTTAAGGTTCCCTTGTTAGTTGCAATTTTGTAAGTTCAAACTTAAAACATGCATGTTTTGAAATTTAAATTTTTTACCTAATTTTTAGGGAGAAAATCTGAAACATACGCCAACTTCGGGGATCATAATGTCCAATCAAAGCTTGGCCCTCCAGAAAGTAACAAGAGCTTCTGCAGGAATTTATGTATGCAGTGCCACCAATAATGAGGTAATGTTTCATATTTGCAGTAGTTGTATTTTTGGAGAAATTACACAAAAATTCCATTTTTATTACGTTTTAGGGTGAAGGGCGATCTAATCCGGTTGAGCTGAAAGTGATGTGTAAGTTGTGTTTAAAAAATACATATTTGTGCCAGGCAAACGAGAATCTCTAGTTGATTAAAGTTGGCCAAATAGCAAAGTGTGTTATACATCTTCACTCCAAACAGAGATGTGTAACAGGGAACGTTTAATAACCAAATAAAGTTTCATGAATTAATTTCAAAGTCCAACAAATTGTAATTATTTTGCAGCCAGTTAGTCACAATTACAATAAACTCTAGAAAGTAGTGAATTTGTACGGACAACAGAGCAATACAAATGTGTATCTCCATCCGAGGAGAAAAGATACCTATTTTGTTTGAGGGAAGTTGCGAACAGGACGAGGTAAAGTTGCCTTTGGTCTGAATGAATTAGGAGTTGAGGAGAAAGTTATGTGGAATTAGGAGAGCGAGAGAGAGAGAGAGAAGTGCTGTATCTATATTTTCTCTTGTCTGTGTTGCTCCACCAGATGCTCCGACCTGTCGAAATGACTTGTCAAGTGCAGAAGGAACCCCAGTAATTATCGCTGCCTCTCGGTCAGGTTGGTACCAACGTAAATTGTCATTCTTTGCAATAAATACACAAGGCCTTTATCACATTTATTGTCAATTTCATGTGCCAATGGCAACTCAGAGGACGTAAACATAACTTGCGAGATGGATGCTCTGCCAGAGTCCTTGCGATTCCACTGGGCTCACACAAATACGGTTGGAGAAGCTGTGGATTTGGAGCCGGAGATTTACACCAGCCAAGGATCAAAAAGTTTTCTTTTCTACAACCTCCGGTGAGAAACCTTCTCACTCTGCATCAAATATTCTCATTACAATTATTTTTACCATTCTAGCTCCGAAGAGGATTTTGGAACGCTTCTGTGCTGGGCTCAGAACTCCATTGGGACTGCGGAGAGGCCGTGCATATATCAGATCGTGCCCGCCGGTACGTTTTTTTTTCTAAAAATAATAGTGTACAATAATGGTACTTGCTACACCCATTCAGCTAGTCGACATATCTAACTATAAGCAGTATCCAAACTACGGCATAAAGCATTCATTCTCTTCTTCCCCCCAATTCCCGAGACATGGGTGAAACTGAAGGCAAGTCGATAATTATCTCTTCTAGTCATTTAGGTAACTTAATTTCACCCGAACAAACTTTCCAAAACTACTGTATTACTTACACATGAGCAAACACATGGCGTCTCCTCCTCCTCCGGAGCTGAGACGCATGATGTTCTCTCTCTTCTTTGATCCTGTCATATCGTTCAAATGATCATGCCAGGTAAAACCAATTATTTTAAATTTGCCTATTTTGAGGTGAATTGTGCTGTTGGCTGGGGAAATTGTAATAGATTCCTGTCTTGTAGCATAACATGCAACTGTAGAAAAAAATTTACTGGAGATTTGGATTTGGTGTTTGTAACATGAAACCACAAATTTGACATATGGATGGTTTCAATGTTATCCAGGTAAAAGAGCCACACCTTTTATAAGATAAATTGTGGTGCATGCAATAAATTAGTTTCACTCACTCTAGTGTGGCGAGGTGAATGAATGCAGTAAATAATAAAGTGAATTTATGTACGTAGTTTCTACGTATGTCTACATCTGCTCTTGAACTAGAAAAAAACAAATAGAAAAATATCCCAGGATAGATTGTTTCCTTGAGATTAAATCATATCTTATCATTTCCGCTGCAATACCACCAAGGTGCATGTTGGTATTTTAAATCCATTGCACTTGGTTAGAATAGGAAAGAAAGTGGTGTTTACGAGCACATACATATGTGTTTTCTTAAGTTTATACTGCGATATTTGATTGACACGGGAAATAAGCAAGCAAGTTTTATTATTTTAATGTCACAAGTCGTTACACGAATATCGCCAGACAGTTTATATGACCAATATCATATCCATATGAGTACACGTTAGAGAATAGTATACATACATACTATATGTACGTAAATGCATACGTACGACTTATACTTAGCTTGATTACCATAACGTACGTATACCCTCTAACTCAATGAATGAAAAAAATCAGTTAAGAAAAAAACGTATGTGTACATAGTCTGGGTTGATTTGATGGCAGACTTGTTTATTATTAATAAAACACGCAAAGGTTGAAGGTTAGAGGACGCAATAATAACTCGTTAAATAGTTGCAACCAAGCATCTGAATTACAAATTTTATTCGGTAATAGTAATTCCATCATCACATTAGTTTAGACTTTTATGGCAGAAGTGGCCTGTTTTTTTACCACATTGGAAAAACTTGACCCAAGTAGATAGAAGTTCTACTGTTTACAGCCTACGACTCTACGGTCTACCTGATCACATCGGACTATAGCTTGTTCTCAGGAACATTTCAATGGATAATTCAAGTTAAATTACGCCATTAGCCTTCACAAGTCAAAAAAATACGAAAAGTAAACTGTAAATGCCGCACATAAAAGTGTATGGATGAAGAATTACATAAGTTGGTGCAAAGAACTGTGAAGACCAAGAAAAAGTATTGACAATGGATTCAGAGATGGTAGTATATAGTATGCGTGTATGTAGTACATACGTAGCAATAAGGATAGTAGGTGTAGTACTGCAGTTCAATAACTAAGTAATATAATGTCATTCCAAATGTAATGCAGAGAATAGAAAAGAGAATCTAGGACTACTGGAGTCAGTGAATAGACCAAAAAGTTGATTTAACGATCCTTCCACACGCAATATAAATTGCGGCATTTTTCCTCCTTTCACTACTTTTGCTCTTCTACTACTGCACCTTACTGCTACGACCACGTCTTGTATATTTACTTTGTGAGAAAGTGACGATGAAATGTATTTTAGACGTCGCATTATTAAATTCACCTTTGGATGCAGAATAGTAGAATAGAAACGCACCTATGTACATCCATCCAACAAATTATATACGCAAGGCCGTTTCGATACTGAAAAATTGGGCTAGGCAACTTACAATGCAAGTCTTTTACGTGTACAACTCAGATCTGGTTGGGACCAATTTTATTTTGTTCGCCACAAAAAATAAGCATACCCGTATTTTTTCATTTTTCATAATGCGCTAATTTGAGCGCGGGGCGCGAATTTTAAAACATTTTTCAGCCAAAACCTCGGTTTTTAAAAATTCTGTAAATTAGTTATTCGTTTAGCTCGAATCCAAAAATTCGAAAACATGTGTCTTCAGAATGACTTACTTGACTAATAAAAATTCAAATGCATTATTTTTTGAAAAATTAAAAATTTGAACGAGTTTATCATTTTAATAAATTTCAAAAACTGGAAAAAAATTTTGAAAATCAAATTTCGAGACAATTGGATTTTTCATAAGTCAGGTAAGTCATTCTGAAGAGACATGTTTTCGAATTTTTGGATTCGCGCTAAAATTCGAAAATTTACAGAATTTTTAAAAACCGAGGTTTTGGCTGAAAAATGTTTTAAAATTCGCGCCCCGGGCTCAAATTAGCACATTATGAAAAATGAAAAAATACGGGTATGCTTATTTTTTGTGGCGAACAAAATAAAATTGGTCCCAACCAGATCTGAGTTGTACACGTAAAAGACTTGCATTGTTAGGCTGCCGAAGGACCGTTATATTAATTCAATGGTCTTCCTGTCACAGATCAAAACAACTCCTATAAATAAGTCAAATCTTGCTATTCATGACACACAATCCAGTCTTAAATAAAAAAAGTGAAGTAAGATTATTGATATAAACGCAGCTAATAACTTAATGGATTATTTGCAAAAAAAATTCTCGCAATGTTTCGTAATTTTGATATTATTTCGTTCGTAGTTCACAGAGTGATGTGAAATAGGACAGGTTCACTTTGGGTTCGTTATTTCTTTCTCGTCATCTCCCCCAGACTCACTAAACCAACAAATGGGATGGTCAGACAAAATGTGCACTGATCTCTAAACTTCTGGGGATTTAGCCACTGAAGAAATTTGACAATAAAGTGGAAGAAATGGGGAGAAAACAAAGCTAGAAAAGGTTGGGGAAGTTGTTGCAACAACTAGAAAGATAGAACACACACTTCCATTGCCTCTGGCTGTCTAAGAGTCAGGATATATTACTTTCTCCCCCGTCGCACCTAGGAAACCAGGGGAGACATAAAAACACGTTGCTCCCTGTGATTCGCATCTCTGTCAAAATGTACATGTAGGTGGAAATGCGTATTTATTTATATATAGACATACACATATTGAGGATGCGTAAAAACAGCCAAATAATTGCATATTTGAGAAAACATTCCATCCCACCTATCTACCTAAATAGATACATACATACAAGCGGTCTATTACTGTGGTGGATTTCAGTTAAATAACTTTTCCCCGTACATCAAATCAAATCAAATCAAACCAACTAATTCTGGCATGGGAAGCCATCTTACTTGTTGTTCCTTGCATATAACAACTTTCTAAATACATTTGATGCCAAGAGTAGTTTTGCTACATAGAACTACTTTGAGAAGACATCCTAACCACCAATACCAAACTGGTAATCCCTGAATTGTGTTGCATTATTATTTGTTAGTTGAATTTCAGTCGAATTGACAGAGTACAAATATGACACGAAGTTAGGGCGCGTAAAAAGTTCTGGGGAAAGTACATTGTCTGACGCACAAAAAGTTGAATGTGACGATGATGAGTGCTGAATGGAATCTGGTGGTGCACTGGAAGTGATATTATTATTACATTTAAATCCGTACACCATGAAAGGGAATGATCCTGCGTATGTACAGGAGAGAGGAGATTATTACGAAAGAGCGAGGGGGCTGACGTCGTCAACTTAACTCGGCTCAATGATAGCTCGTGCAGCTCATGTAATGATGAGAGAAAGTATTGTCACATAGTTCGGGTGCTAGAGCCAGCTTCATCTCTCTCATCGTTACATATGCAGCACTAGCGGGTCTTTCTGCATTTATTGAAAATGTTATATATTCACTCAATCCTCATAAAATTCTCACTGTCACAACCTTCTTAAAATTTCAATTTGAGCGGTACTGAATCACATTCCATGGAAAATCGGGTTTATAATTCGTTGGTTTCAAAAGATCGAATCAGAGATGTGGTAAACGAGAATTTAACTAAAAGCCACCACGAAAGAAGGTGAACCATTACGAGATGAGTTACATTTGCACCTTTTCATTCATGTCTATATATTCTCTCCATTATTTCATTTTTATGACGCTTATAAGGTTTTTCACGGAGCTCGTAAAGATGAAATAAAATGGTGAAAGGAATAGAAAAGCTTTCTCTTACCTAAGAGGGCAAATTCAGCATTCCTGATTCTACACGCTCCCTTAATCACTTATGTAGATAAAGACTTTTGTCATTTATGTATCTCGCCATCGTCGACTTGTTCTTTCATCATTTATAGAATCCGAAGGTGTGACAAAAAATGTATGTGGGTATCTATGCATGCATGCATTTCCGTATCTGGATGCACATGCTTATTAAATTTCTACAATGTGTAGCTGCTATAGAACAGAGTATATATGCATATATATGATAAAGTATTCTTCGACTTTACTATAAAAATGAAAACATTTTCCTGCATGCCATATCCTTTTGGTAATCAAATCAATTGAAAGCATTAGTGGTACGTATTTAGTGCCAATGCGCCGTATGCTGCCTTAAATGAAGGATTGATTTTTTTTCTACGCCAGAACTACACATGTGAGACTGGATGTGTAACAAATAATTCGTGGTTTTAAACATATAGCCTAAGAGTTGAGCGAGAAATTAAAGCCAATCTGTAACTTCGTTTATATACACATAATAATGCGTAAATTTTCATGACAACACGAATTTGATGCTAAAATTGCCACCTGCCCCTAACTTTCACATTTATTAAGGGGTGAAAGCCCTTTATAAGATCGTTATGTCCGTCTGTCCGTAGCTCCGATAACTTTTGAACGAGAAGA